ACACAAACAAATGCAATGTCTGTGGAGTTCACTAGATGAGAAGACTAGGATTTCTGCTACTGTAGAATTTCCAGTGAAGGTTTTGAGATCTAGTTTGTTTTAGATATTTTTGAGTTCTAGTTTTTATTTTCTGTTATTCATTATTCTCCATTTGGGTAGTTGGATTGACATGTCAAGCAGTAAAAGTGGTGACATGCTATACATCTAAAACTACTATACATCTAAAACTGCTTTTAATTCTTATAATTATCACAGATAGATTTTTTTCATGACTGATTGGCAGCTTTAATCCGTGACATCAAAGATAGAAAGCAGGAAGTACATTCTAAAGCACTTCCTGTGTTCTATCTTTGGTATGTCTCAGTTGCTCTGTAGAACTTCAACAGAATGTATTAAACTGATTAGTACAGTAAGAACGCAACTGTGTAAAGAGCAAATTAAAACCCAAATATCATACATTTTTTAACAAAAAAATGCAATTTTTCAATAGGCCTTTTAAAGATTTTTTGTAAATAATGAGAGTTTAATAATGAGTATATATGAGAGTATCATGAGATAATCATTTAGAGAAAGTGAACGTAGTGATCATCATGATATTATCTGTAAGACATGGTATCAACCAGGGCTCAACAATAAGGACTGCCTGATGCCCCTGGGCCAGTGTGACCCTTGGGACAGTTGACAGTTCTGTCACTGCCTGGATCAGCCCACTGCTCAGTGCATTGTCTCTCGCACGTGAACGGACAAATACATACAAAATGATGCCAAAATACAAGACGTCTTGGGAAGTTTAAACTATGCAAATGCAAGATGATGCGGAAGAGCTCAATTCAGTACTTGCGCACTGTTTCTATGTGCACAGCAATGCAAAGCAATCATTTACCAAATTGTCATTTGTGTGGAAAATATTACCAAACAGGATGTTAACAGAGGCCAGAGACAAGATGCACTGAAGACGGACACGAAGAGGACAAACAGAGAAAATACTGTACCAGACAGAGCAAATTCATTGGTTGCCATGCTCGAAATACTGGAAGAAAATCAGTGCATCCTTAACTGGAATACTGTTAGACCTACCCGAAAAACTTTCAAGGTTCATTTCATTTTTATCTTTGAACCACTGGTCCAACAGGGCCAGTAGAAATGTTCCTTATCATTGAGCCATGTCAACATTATCAAAATCAGTATCGTAACACTTGTACACAGATCTGTAGAACAAGTCAGTTACAGAATTAAATAAAAAAAATAAAAAAAATAAAAAAATAATAATAAATACAAAAAAATTATGACTTTGAATAGCATAATTGTATAGTTGTGTTAGGATGAGCCGAGCAAGTCTTGCATATGTATTTCCTGGTTTGAGAGTGACTTCCAATTAAAATTAAATAAATAAATAAAATGAGGCATGCATGCATATGAGTGTGAAGTATATGACAATATATGTATATGAGTTAGAATCTAGGTACTGTCTGTAAGAATAACGAATGCGTGAGAATGTAAATATATGTGCGTGAAAATCAGAATAAATGTATGTGTTGAAACGTAAAGTGTCTATATATGCCAGCAGAAACATATGTATGTGAAAAAAAGGTATGTGTGAAAGTAGAAATACATGAATGTGAAAGAAGAATGCAAGTGTTTTTATTATTATTCTCTTATTCTTTAACTTTGAAGTAAGCCTATGGGCGAGACTTCCGGTTCATTAGCCGCTATAGGGAAATAATGAGAAGAATAACAATGTGCAGTAAATGGTAAAACTGTTTGCATAAAGGTTATTCTTGGAACCATCAATGCCAGAAACTTTATTTTTAACAGTGTTTTAACAACTTTTAAGAACTAATTACTGAAAGATTCTTTGGGGAACCAAAAATGTTGTTCTATTCTGTATCAGTTGTGTGGTTTCTTTGAGCAATCAATTTGCTATTGAGATGAGAAGCAAAGGTACCTGCCATTCTACAAATGACTTTAAACACAAGACTTTCCGGAGAAAGCAAGTATTGGAATCAATCCTCATGCTGTATTGCAGTCCATATCAGACTGAGGTCTTTCTTTGAGAAAAAAAAAAAAAAGATCTGATAAATACTACAGTGCCAAGAATTATTTCTGAAGCATGTACAATTCTCTAAAAAAATTATATATTTCCACAATGTGGAATCGCCATGACCTTCTGTCTCCAAATCAACATGTTTCCAAATGTATTATGTACAGAGCCTTGTAAGCTTCTGTCACAGTGTGTTGAATCTGATGTGGGTAGAGTACTGTTTGTTTCCTGAAGATGGAGGTCATTGATTGTGGCTGAGTTTGCTCTCTTATTCTCACTCACTTTCTCAGTCTGTTTTGTCATATAGCACAGTGACTGTATGGAATCATTGAGTAATGGGCTTGCACAAGATCTCTTGTTTCATTCTTGCATTGGAAGATGTGTTTATATCCAGGACTTTACCAGGATAAATTGCTCATGGATTCTCCAGAACTTATTTTCATTCGTAGTTAGATTTTTTTTTACAGAAGTGTTGAACTTCTGTCATTTTAATATGCAAACATTCACGGGTTTTTGTGGGTTTCTACAAGAGGAAGTGCTGTTTTTTCCTGTGTCATTAGTATTTGTATATTTATTATTAAATTGGAATTTCATACGGTATATTCTTGCCTCATGATTTGTGTACGTTCTTGCTGGCGATATGCAGAATCACAGGTTTCACATTTGGGCCACATTTTGACTTTTCGGAGAAAAGTATTTGATCTGTATTTTCATTTTATTTATGTCTTGTTTGACCACTTAAAATGACACTAAAGTGAACAAAAAGAAAAATACAGCTTGTCTCCCCCCAAACAGTAGCATGGTGTTAGTAACACCAAGGTCATGGGTTCAAATCCCAGGGAAAGCAACAATTTGTGTAAAATGTGTACCTTGAATGTAATGCAAGTCACTTTGGATAAAAGTGTCTGCTACATGCGTTAGTAGTTCGAAATAAGATCAACTTAATATCGTCAACTTAATTTAAACTGAATCTTTTCCAGATTTAAATAATTGGCTTTAGTACTATGGCAATATAAATAAACACTTATTTAAAATTTGAAACATGTTATAAAAAGTATAACTTTCACCAGGTATTTTAGACTTTTCCATACAAAGGAACATATTATTTACCACCTGTTTAGTGATTCAGTGCAGTGTAGTCTGTAGTACAGAAAGTGAACCGTTTTCGCTATGCATCAGCCTGACACTTTCAGAATTGAGCTTGTGAGATTTAACGATGAATTGTTAGGTGGGTATATATGTTGTTCTATTCGGTATCAGTTGTGTGGTTTCTTTGAGCAATCAATTTGCTATTGAGATGAGAAGCAAAGGTACCTGCCATTCTACAAATGACTTTAAACACAAGACTTTCCGGAGAAAGCAAGTATTGAAATCAATCCTCATGCTGTATTGCAGTCCATATCAGACTGAGGTCTTTCTTTGAGAAAAAAAAACAAAAAAGATCTGATAATTACTACAGTGCCAAGAATTATTTCTGAAGCATGTACAATTCTCTAAAAAAAAGTATATATTTCCACAATGTGGAATCACCATGACCTTCTGTCTCCAAATCAACATGTTTCCAAATTTATTATGTACAGAGCCTTGTAAGCTTCTGTCACAGTGTGTTGAATCTGATGTGGCTAGAGTACTGTTTGTTTCCTGAAGATGGAGGTCATTGATTGTGGCTGAGTTTGCTCTCTTATTCTCACTCGCTTTCTCAGTCTGTTTTGTCATATAGCACAGTGACTGTATGGAATCATTGAGTAATGGGCTTGCACAAGATCTCTTGTTTCATTCTTGCATTGGAAGATGTGTTTATATCCAGGACTTTACCAGGATAAATTGCTCATGGATTCTCCAGAACTTATTTTCATTCGTAGTTAGAATTTCTTTTACAGAAGTGTTGAACTTCTGTCATTTTAATATGCAAACATTCACGGGTTTTTGTGGGTTTCTACAAGAGGAAGTGCTGTTTTTTCCTGTGTCATTAGTATTTGTATATTTATTATTAAATTGGAATTTCATACGGTATATTCTTGCCTCATGATTTGTGTACGTTCTTGCTGGCGATATGCAGAATCACAGGTTTCACATTTGGGCCACATTTTGACTTTTCGGAGAAAAGGATTTGATCTGTATTTTCATTTTATTTATGTCTTGTTTGACCACTTAAAATGACACTAAAGTGAACAAAAAGAAAAATACAGCTTGTCTCCCCCCAAACAGTAGCATGGTGTTAGTAACACCAAGGTCATGGGTTCAAATAACCAGGGAAAGCAACAATTTGTGTAAAATGTGTACCTTGAATGTAATGCAAGTCACTTTGGATAAAAGTGTCTGCTACATGCGTAAATGTAAATGTAAAAAATATAAAAAAATCAATTACTGGTGCTTGCTTAGGCACTTTTGACTTAAGCAAAATGCTAAAACACCAAAGTAACCACATAACAACACCCTTGCAACCAGCCTTATCACCATGTTGGTGAGTTTTATTATTATTTTAATATTTAAAATATTTTTCCGTCATTCCATCACATTCAACACAACTCAATATTCAGCATATGAAAAATGTCAGTACATATATAAAATGTAAATACATACAATGTATGTGCAAAATTGCAAAAGTGTGTATGTACAGGTTCTTTATTGCCATTGATGGTTCTATGAAGAACCTTTAGCATCCACAAAACCTTACCATTGCACAAAAGTTTTTTTTTTGCAGTGATGTCATAAAAGAATAATTTTGGTTCCCCAACAAACCTTTCAGCGAACAGTTTTTAGAAGGACAACAGTATACCAGTAAACCTTTTGTGCAGTGGAAAGGTTCCATGAATATTAAAGGTTATTCTTGGAACCATCAATGCCAGAAACTTTATTTTTAACAGTGTTTTAACAACTTTTAAGAACTAATTACTGAAAGATTCTTTGGGGAACCAAAAATGTTTTTTCTGTAGCATTGCTGCCAAAACTCCCCCCATTTTTTTTGAGAGTATAACATAATCGAGTCACTGTCTCAATGGTGGGTGAGATACATGAGATTAGATACTGAGAATTAGTAATGTCTCAGTATCATTGTCATCGTATTCTGATAGTATCTCACTCTTGATCACTCAAGTAGAAGCTTGAACGTCTCCTCTCTGGTAAGCATATTGGCAAAATGATGACCCGATGCGTACAGGAAGTCACAGAGGGACAGTCCCTCATCTGACGGCCCAGTATCAGTGACACAGCCACACGTAGCATCTCTCTGCTGCTGCTCTAATCGAGAAATAAACGTCTGCTGGAGCAAACAGCATGAGGAGAAGCAGATACGCTTTGTTCAGTGCTTTTACCCATTCATGAAAAAGTCTCACATCTCACGTGAATGTCAGTTCTACATCTCCTAATTTAAGAGGCAAAGTGTCCAGCTGGCAAGGTTCTTGTAGAAGTAGTGGACAGGTGATAAAAAGTGACGACTCATTGCAGTTCTCGTCTGACTGGGAGGACAAATCTCCCAATCCTGATACATTCACGGACTGTAAGGGAGATTTTTTCAAATAGCTTGGTCTGTCATTGTCATTATCAGTTGTGAATGTACAGCTGGTTTGCTCATGAGACAATGAATCATTGTCTGTTACGAGCTTCCTGGTTTTGCACCACATGCAAGTCTCAACGTCAGAGCACAAGCATGTCACATGACCAGACCGATAGCCACTGCTAGGGCTGGCCATGTTAGCGTCTACGTCACATGGGATGGTGGCCTCACTTTCAGCATCTGCTGAAGGACTCTGACTACGATATCCATCCCCAACTACTACTATTTCAGACAGGAGGTCACCCTCTGCCCCCTTGAGATTGTCAGACACATCCTGGTTTCCCATTCCCATTCCCAAGCCACTGTCCTCTTTTCTTTCACTTTCGTTGCTGCTATTTACTCCTCCTTCTAGGAAAGGGAGCTCTTCCAGGCTTCTTCTTCCACTGCTGAGACTGTCTTCAGTGTCTGTCAGACTGCCACAGCCGCTGTCTTCCTGTACTATATGTTCATCTGTGCTTCGGTTCTTAACCGAATGCTGCTGGCCGACACTCACTCCGCTGTCTGTACTCTCTCTTCTCTCTTTGTCCTCCTCCAGAAGGTCCTTGTTCTCATCAAATGTTTTACTCTTTTCTGCCTTTTTGCTGTTAGTCACTAGCCATCCTTTGTCAGTGACTGCTTCCACTTGGATCAATCCTACATTCATAGGTTTCCATCCATTCACAGCGGATTTCTGATGGAAATAGAAATTAAATAATAAAATAAATTAAATGTTTGGGGTCAGTAAGTTTTTTTTTTCATTGTTTTATTTTTTATCTGTGTGTGTGTGTGTGTGTGTAAGAAATTATTATTATTCAGCGGGACGCATTCATTAAAGAGTCCTGAATAAAATAAAATAAAATAAAATAAAACTTTTGTGCAGTGGAAAGGTTCCATGAATATTAAAGGTTATTCTTGGAACCATCAATGCCAGAAACTTTATTTTTAACAGTGTTTTAACAACTTTTAAGAACTAATTACTGAAAGATTCTTTGGGGAACCAAAAATGTTTTTTCTGTAGCATTGCTGCCAAAACTCCCCCCATTTTTTTTGAGAGTATAACATAATCGAGTCACTGTCTCAATGGTGGGTGAGATACATGAGATTAGATACTGAGAATTAGTAATGTCTCAGTATCATTGTCATCGTATTCTGATAGTATCTCACTCTTGATCACTCAAGTAGAAGCTTGAACGTCTCCTCTCTGGTAAGCATATTGGCAAAATGATGACCCGATGCGTACAGGAAGTCACAGAGGGACAGTCCCTCATCTGACGGCCCAGTATCAGTGACACAGCCACACGTAGCATCTCTCTGCTGCTGCTCTAATCGAGAAATAAACGTCTGCTGGAGCAAACAGCATGAGGAGAAGCAGATACGCTTTGTTCAGTGCTTTTACCCATTCATGAAAAAGTCTCACATCTCACGTGAATGTCAGTTCTACATCTCCTAATTTAAGAGGCAAAGTGTCCAGCTGGCAAGGTTCTTGTAGAAGTAGTGGACAGGTGATAAAAAGTGACGACTCATTGCAGTTCTCGTCTGACTGGGAGGACAAATCTCCCAATCCTGATACATTCACGGACTGTAAGGGAGATTTTTTCAAATAGCTTGGTCTGTCATTGTCATTATCGGTTGTGAATGTACAGCTGGTTTGCTCATGAGACAATGAATCATTGTCTGTTACGAGCTTCCTGGTTTTGCACCACATGCAAGTCTCAACGTCAGAGCACAAGCATGTCACATGACCAGACCGATAGCCACTGCTAGGGCTGGCCATGTTAGCGTCTACGTCACATGGGATGGTGGCCTCACTTTCAGCATCTGCTGAAGGACTCTGACTACGATATCCATCCCCAACTACTACTATTTCAGACAGGAGGTCACCCTCTGCCCCCTTGAGATTGTCAGACACATCCTGGTTTCCCATTCCCATTCCCAAGCCACTGTCCTCTTTTCTTTCACTTTCGTTGCTGCTATTTACTCCTCCTTCTAGGAAAGGGAGCTCTTCCAGGCTTCTTCTTCCACTGCTGAGACTGTCTTCAGTGTCTGTCAGACTGCCACAGCCGCTGTCTTCCTGTACTATATGTTCATCTGTGCTTCGGTTCTTAACCGAATGCTGCTGGCCGACACTCACTCCGCTGTCTGTATCTCTCTTTGTCTCTTTGTCCTCCTCCAGAAGGTCCTTGTTCTCATCAAATGTTTTACTCTTTTCTGCCTTTTTGCTGTTGCCATCCTTTCATCCTTTGTCAGTGACTGCTTCCACTTGGATCAATCCTACATTCATAGGTTTCCATCCATTCACAGCGGATTTCTGATGGAAATAGAAATTAAATAATAAAATAAATTAAATGTTTGGGGTCAGTAAGTTTTTTTTTTTATTTTTTTATTTTTTATCTGTGTGTGTGTGTGTGTGTGTAAGAAATTATTATTATTCAGCGGGACGCATTCATTAAAGAGTCCTGAATAAAATAAAATAAAATAAAATAAAATAAAATAAAATAAAATAAAATAAAATAAAATAAAATAAAATAAAATAAAATAAAAATGTAGCATTGTTTCCACAAAAATATTTACGAGCAAAACTGTTTATAACACTAATAATAAATAATAATGAAATGTTTCTTGAGCATCAAATCAGAATATTAAAATTATTTCTGAAGGATCACGTGAATCACGTGATCACTGAAGACAGTAGTAATGGCTTCTTAAAATTCAGATTTGTCATTACAGAAATAAATTATATTTTAAAACATATTCATAGGTATATATATATATATATATATATATATATATATATATATATATATATATATATATATATATATATAT